CTGAGGCAGCGGAGGACATGGCTGGGGAGGTGGGCGTGAACCATGGCTGGTGGGGCTGGTGCGCGGGGTTTGGGGGAGGGAGGTGTGCAAAGGCTCTGAGGCAGCGGAGGACATGGCTGGGGAGGGGGGCGTGAACCATGGCTGGTGGGGCTGGTGCGCGGGGTTTGGGGGAGGGAGGTGTGCAAAGGCTCTGAGGCAGCGGAGGACATGGCTGGGGAGGGGGGCGTGAACCATGGCTGGGGGGCTGGTGCGCGGGGCTTGGGGCAGGGAGGTGTGAAAGTGGCCCCTGTAGAGTAGTCAGGGCCAGAGCAGGCAGGGCTTTGGAGGCGGGGAGTCTTTGAAGGTAAGTGGTTATAATACCACTTGCAGGTGGTTAATCACCATACCCGGGCTTGATCATTTCACAAATTAGTGAAGTCTTTATAGCTAAAATAGTATCAAGTGTAAGGGTTTTATTAGAAACCGGATGGGATGTCAGGATCTGACCAGAGGGAGTGGACATGGCTCATCCATAACTATCTCCAGAAACCCTGAACTGGGCAGACCCCCAGAACCTCCTCCCAGCCGCTGCCCGGCTACCCGCCTGTGGAGGGCCGCGGTGTGCTGCCCCGAGACAGCCGAAGCCCGGCGGCAGGGCACATTGTCTTGGTCCTCCATAAAAAGTGCCCACGACTGGGGTCTTCTCATCACCCTGAGGAGCTGAAGGCTATGGAAGTGTAAATAGATTCTACTCTGTTAGCAGAGATCATATTCTTCTCAGGTCAGATGTTAGTTGTCATTATTTTCATCTCCAATTTGAACAGTCACCAGATGAAATCCTCCTGACCGCTGGTTCGCCCCCCTCCCGGGCTCCCTGCGGAAGGGGGTGGGGCTGCTGGCGGTGAGCTCGGTGGGGCGGGAAAAGCCCGCGCTGCTGACTCCCGGAGCAGGGTCCCGGTGTGCAGCTGCTGTCTCCCTGGGACAGCACGTGTCAGCCCTGAGAAGAACGGCGAGGCCTGGTGGTGGCTGAGAGCAAAGGCGACAGCACTGGGGACTCGGAAAGCTCCAGAGGTCTGGGAGGCCCGAGAGCCCCCGGGTGGCCCAGAGTCAAAGAAGCTGTTCGCTTCAGTGTGTCCAAGGGCCGGGCGGCCAGGGAAGCGGGGCTGCATTCGAGAGACACCGCAGAGCCAGCTGGCGCCTTGGGTGCGGCTGCTCCCCTGGAGGTGGAGTTTGTAACTGGGCTTTGTGCAGCTGCCCCTCCATTCCTTCCTGAGGGGCAGAGGCAGAGGCTGGGAGGATGCCACCTGCCTCAGTTAGAGATGCTGCTCCAAGTGGGAAATCCCGGTAGGATTCCTCACTGTTTTCTCAAAAAGACATGAATTCCACAGCCTGGCATTTGCACCCGTTCACAGGGACAGTCTGCACGGTGCCCAAAGCCTGGCGTCTGTCCAGATAGCCATGGATCGCAAGTACTTCCTATTTCAAAGTGTCTTCAGATACACTCTTAAATGCCCCAGGGTGATGTTCTACCTAAAGAGGAGTAAAAGTTGAGCAAAGTGCCAAATAGACAAAACAGTAACAGTAGGATTCTTGACTGCTGGCCACAAACCCAACTTTTTATTGAAGTTTAACATACATACAGAAATGTGCACAAATCGAACGTGTACAGCTCGAAGAATGTTCACAAACTGGAAACACCCAGTGTGTCCAGATCAAGACACAGAACATCCCAGAAGCCTCCCGTGCCCCTCCTGGCTCCCAGCCCCTCAACAGCGACGGCCACCCCACTTGAGCAGCACAGGCTGGGTCTCACACTGGATGGAAGTGGAGCAGACAGCGCGTACTTGCTGTGCCACGCGGCCCGTGCCAGCGGCGGTGTGCAGCTGTGCTTCCTCGTTCATCCTCATCGCTGCTGATTCCACGGTGTGAATGTACCATTACTTGTGTTTCCATTCAACATGGGCATGTGGGTGCCCTCCAGCTTGGGGTTATTATGAATAGTGCTTCTATGAACACAGTACATTTCTTCTGGTGAACATGTGCCCACATCTCTGTAGGAGAGGAGTTGTCAGGTCGTGCGATGTGTATGTCCAACCCAGGCTATTTCATGGAAGAATAGGAATTTATGGGAAGCTCAAAGAATTGACAAAAACCTGGAAAGGAAACCGAGGAAGATGGGTAGGAGCCGAGACAGCTCAGTGGGGCCAAGGAATAGAGCAGGGATGCTTGGCTCAGAACTCTGCCATCCCTGGACATTGTCACCAGTGGACACAGCAGTCCTGGACACCTCCCTAGGCCACAGCTGCCCCTGGGCCACTGCAGCTCCCATGGAATGAATCTCAGCACCCTGTCATTTCTGTGTCGCTGGCTCCGGGTTCACATCCCAAGCAGGGAGTCGCAGTGGTTCACCCCAAGTCACTGGCCACTCCCTGGTGCTAGAAAGAGGATATGCCTGAGGGACAAGGAAGACCTCCCCACTTGAGCATCCACAGGGGGAGGGGACACTGCATCTGACTCAACTGCTGTGTAAGGGATGACTCCTCCCTGTGGGAAGGGGGTCAGATGCTGGACAGCTAACTGGAAACACAGCGAGAACTGCCCTGTACAGGCGCACTGCACGCATTCACCCCCTGACGGTGGCCGGAAGGGGACGGGACAGTCAGACGTCTGTGTACCTCAGAGCCCACGTGCCTGACCTTGCCTTTAAGAAGACGGCATTGAGTTCAGGGACACTTCAGAAGGGGCGAGCCACATAAAAGGCCCCAGGTTTGCAAGGAAAAGGTGTGTGAACGGACAGAAGACCCCGCGAAGGAATGTAAGGAGGAGAGGAGGGGAGGAAGGCGGAACACGGGCAGAACAAGAGTGAAGACGAATTGGGGGAAGTCTGGTGAAAGGCGGGAAACACGTTTTATTTTTGACCTGATTTAGCCAGTTTCTGTGATCCTCTTCCTCAGCTCGGCTGTGCTTTTATGGATTGTGCTTTGTTTTATCAGGTTAATGATGTTGGACCACAGAATAGAGAGATCCTGGTCATAAACCGAAGGAGAGACTTGTCCTATCACCACACACGGCGTACAGTGCTGCTCTAGTTGGAGCACACGGCTTCCTAAAACACTGGTATTAGCTGTGAGCTTTGATGAAGCTAAGAATGGGTTTCAACAAAAGCAAAGAATAAAAATGTACTAAAACTGTTAGCAAGAATGGCAAGTCATTATTGATGTGAAAATTATATTTGCCTCTTGGTAGGCGATTTCACATGAGCCCTCCAGCTGAACCCTGCTGTCCTTGAAGTCATGCTCTCTTCCCTGTTACAGCGTGGCATTTAGTGCACTTGTTTGCTTTAGATGATACTCACAGTTCTCATCTATGTAGCCCCTCTCTGTGTCCTCCTAGACAGGGAGGCAGGGGGAGTCTTACCATCATCCCCATGTTGCAGGTTGGAGCATTTCAGAAACACAATGGCTTGCTCATGTAGCAAGCCCGTCAGCACCAGGGACAGAGGCAGTTTTCAAACAAACCAGCGTGGCCAGTGCTCTGTGCACCTGTGGGTTATTCTTCCTCCAAGGTAGCTTGAGTTTATTTTAAGAAGGGCCTGCAAGTTTGACTCAGAAAAGCCGAGAGCTGTCCAGCCTTCCACTGGGGCCTCCGTGTATCAACTTTCATAAACTACAGGAATACAGGCCCGACATGCCTCCTGGCAGAGGGGAAGAGACGTGTGCAGATGCAGTGCAGATGCCGCAGGCAGACCTGGAACGCAGCGCAGCCCAGGGGCTCAGGGAGGGCTCTGCAGCCAGGCCGTCTGCACTCCCACTTCCCTGCTTTCTGTCCACAACCCTGGGGGAGCTACATCATCCTTCAGTGTCTCAGTTTCCCTCTTTTCCCCAATTAAAAAAAAATCCTCACCCAAGGATATTTTTCCATTTATCTTCAGATAGAGTGGGGATGGGGAGGGGAGAGAGAGAGAAAGAGAAACATTGACGTGAGAGAGACACATCGATGGGTTGCCTCACGCATGACTCTGACCAGGGCCAGGGACTGAACCACAACCAAGGTACGTGCCCCTTGATCGGAACTGAACCTGGGACGCTTTGGTCTACGAGGTGATGCTCTAACTGCTCAGCCAAACGGGCCAGGGCAGTTTAAAACACATTTTAAGCTGCCTCTCTTTAAAACAGCTCATGGTATTTATTTATTGTTGGAGGGTTAAGTAAGTTGAGTACTTGGGATACTTGTCGATGCCCAGATCTGTTGTCCCTGTGACTCACTCCTCTGGGGCAGTGCTGAGCCCAGAATGGCCCTTATTAATGCTGCCAAGGAGGAGCCGGACAAGAGGGAGCAGGAGAGGTGTCCTGTGCAGTGGGGAGACAGTGCCTTTCGTGGCTGGAGTCACCAGGTACGTGTACGGCTGAGCTTGCTATAGTATCCCCCAGTGTCTATCCCTGTAGAAGGATCACCCCCAGAACGACCAGTGACAATCAGTGGGAGACAGAGGCCGGGGCCTCGCAGGGTTGTTAAGAAAACCGTCAATGCTGTGGGTCGTTTCCTTCTTAACAGGATGACGGAAAAGCAGGAGCTACAGACCTTTCTCTAGGGAAGGAGGTGAAGGTCTTACCCATGATTTCAGTTAGTCAAATGCTCTTATTTGATGCTGAATTATTGGGAATGGGGATTCTAGGGTATAATTTTTCAATAAATTACCCACTGAAAGTTATTAACTTGATGTATTTAAATTTGGGAACTGATGTTTAAATATTTAAGTCCTTAAATCCATACTTAATTTTACTTGGCACATTTATTATTTGGTTACAAAAATGTCTGTTTTCTTTGCCAATAATGAAAATAACATGAAAATGAAAAAAGTGAAATCAATACAATGAAGAAAACGAAGGGACAGATGAACCTGGCCCCCATGACTGTGGCTGGGCAGTGCTGGGCAGGGGCGGGAGGGGCTTCCTGAAGCGATGTGCATGCGGGTCCCCAGGGGGCGTTCCGGGAAAGGAGGTGCTTCGTCGCCAAGGGAGTCAGAGGATGGTACAGAAGAACTTCTTCTCTCGGAACGGGTTTTCCGACGAGGGCACAGGCATGAGCAGAGGGTCCTCCCGGACGTGGGCCTCACAGTACGCCAAGAGGTCTGCGGCTGCCTGGGACACCTGCGGGGACACAGCGCAGGCTCAGGGTTAGGGCCAGTTCTGAGTGTCCATGTGGAGACGGACAAGCCTGGGCCAGGCTGTGCTGTGAGCACGGCCAACGGCAAGGCCATGCCAGCCCGGGGAGAGGCTTTGTGCCAACCTGAGGAAATAGGCTTTGGCATCTGCCTCCGAGGAGACTGCTCCAGACACCACTGGAGGAAGGGAGCCAGCAGGAGGGCGGACATCCCTGCTGTCCTCTCCACTGAGTGACGAGGGGAGGCTCCAGGCCAGCAGCCATGACGCCTGCCCAAGCAAGTGTGACTGAATCATTACTATCATCATTAGCTGTCCTACTGTAATCCACTCATGACCAACATAGGGGGACACCCTATCTTCCTCAGTACAATGCATATTCTTTTTTTTTTATCCTCACCCGAGGATATTTTTCCATTTTTTGTACAGATAGAGTGGGAGGGAGAGAGAGGAAGGGAGAGAGAGAGAGAGAAACATCGACGTGAAGGGACACATCGAGTGGCTGCCACCCGCACGACCAACCAGGGCCGGGGACAAACTGCAACCGAGGTACATGCCCTTAGCGGGAATCGAACCCGGGTCTCTCCGGACTGCAGGCCGACGCTCTAATCGCTGAGCCAAACTGGCCAGGGCCATATTCTTTTTTATGTAATCCTCACCTAAGGATATTTTTCCATTCACCTTCAGATACAGTGTGTGTGTGTGGGGGGTAGGGTGAGAGAGAGGGTGAGAGAGAGAGAGAGAGAGAGAAACATTGATGTGACAGAGACATATTGATTGGTTGCCTCCTGCATGACCCCAACCAGGGCCAGGGACCGAACCACAACTGAGGTACATGCCCTTGACCGGAATCAAACCTGTGGCTCTTGGTCCACAGGCCGACGCTCTAACTACTGAGCCACTGCCAGGGTGTACAATGCATATTATAAGCACGATTTATATCAAACCCTGTCACATGAGCTACGAATCATAGGCACACAGGATCTAACTCGGAACGGCCACTCCCCGGACCAGAAAGCTCTTGCCCCTGTCTTCCTTCCAGGCTAGTCCCAAGCCTGTGGACACAGGGCAACTGCACCGAACCAGCCCCGAGCTGGAGTCCAGCAACTGCAGAGGAGGTGCTGGGTGCGAGAGGGCAGGGTGTGGGGGTGTCGCTAAGAGGCTCACTGCCCTCGTGGTCTGGTTCTGTGCCAGGCGAGTCAATGGCCTGTACACAAGCCATCCTGCCAATGACGCTGTGCCGTGGCCACGCTTCAGCGGCTGCGGCGGTAACAGTCCCACGAGACCTTTCAGGGCATGTGACGCCTCGGTCTTCTCCAGGATGACAAGAACACTCCGTGAATGAACGACACAGCGTACGGCCTTCAATACATATAAGCCACACACATTCTCGCTACGTTTTTTAAATGGGCCCATCTTCCAAGTTTTTACAGAAATTCTTCTGATCTCTAGACCAGACACTTTAGCAGTGGGTGGAACCCTACGGATAACTCCAGTGGAGATATGTCATGAATCTTGCCCTCAAATAAAATGACTAAGAGCTGAGCTGATGAGTCAACTTCAACCCTGACAAAGTCTCCATTGTGGGAACGCCGTAGGCGTGCTCCCCATAAGCCTCCAGTCCCATCCCTGTCCCTGCGCTGCTGTGTGACTTGGGTGATCTGTGGGCTTCAGTTCCCTCATGTGTCAAGTTCAGGACTTAACTCGAAAATTCTACAATTTTACCTCTCATCCCACTACGGCCGGTATTTTAGAGCCTAAATAAGTGTATGTTGGGTGGGATGGGGGTGTGTGAAGTCCACAGTGGCTTTCAGGCACACAGGATCTGGGGAGACCAGGCCCGCAGGGGCAGGGCAGACTCCGGGCCCCGCAGCTGTGCCGCATAGACGGGCACGGGAATGGCAGTGACTCTGCAGCGCGTGCTCCCTGCCGCCTTCCGCACCCAGCCCAGCGCAGCGCCCACGGCCGCGGCCATGCCCCTCCTCTCCACCGCAGGCTTCTCCAGGCCTCTCCGATGGCCACCAAGGCCACGGCTACTGGACTCGCCTTGCGGCCCGCGGGCAACCACTGCCCAGGCCGGCAGACATGCAGGCCGGCAGTGTCAGAACCACACCTTCCTCCTCTAGGAGCCACTGTCCTTGGAGACCTCCCAGTCCTGGTCCCTGACCTCAGTGAGCTCTTCCCGACGGCTCATTTAGAAATGTCTTATCTGCCCGTCATCCCCTCTCTGCTTTTCACTGTTCCATCTACTTCAATTTTGGGGACATTCTTCTGTTCATTTTGAATTCTCTACAAACCTCATTATCTCATCCAGAAAGTATTTATTGAGAGGATATAGGGGAAAGAATGGGCAATATTTTTGCCCTCTAGAAGATCTAAATGAAAAGACTCAAAAGTTAAAAACTTACTATAATAATTGGCATTATTACATAAAGAACAGCTGCACATCAGTGTGGGGCTGGGATGGACAAGGAGACGGGGTGTCTGACGGCCCCATCCAGCCCTGCACGGCGGCAGTCACATGGGTAAACCTGTGTCCTTTACCCGGAGGCTAGTCCCAAGGCTCTGGGCCCAACAACACAAATTTCTGGCCAAGAGTGGGCCACTTCCTGCAGCCAGTCCATGTTACAGGTCCAAGGGACAGCTGTATAAAACTATTACTAAAGACAATAGCTGACAGTCACTGAGTGCTCATGGTGTCCCAGGCACCGTGTAACTGCATCATCATGTGAACTACCTCATTTAGCTCTTCTAAGTAACATTTTAAAGCCACTTTTCAGATGAGGAAACTGAGGCACAAAAGTCATGGAACTCGCCCAAGGCCACATATCAGGTAGGACACTGAAAGTAGGCAGCCTGAGTAACTGACCGTGAGAACCAGAACTGCCAAGTGCCGGAATGTGCCTGTCTGAGGGGCCTGCCACACTCTCTCCTTATAGACCGGCCACCTGGGAACTCACGTGACCAGAAGACCAGTCTTGCACCTGAAGTTTCTCAGGTTGTTCCATTTAGTCTGGCCAAGGAAACCTAACAGGTAAATCTGCTTGGTTGGGACCCTCTTTCTCTCCCCCAAGCCCTGGCCAATGTCACTTCCAAGACTCTCTTCCCTCTGGCTGAGACCTAAGCACTGTTCAAGTGTTGAAACAAGGAGGTCATCAGACTGAGAGCTCTAATGCCTTGGCCCACACACACCAACTAAAACCAGAGTCAGGGCCCTCCCTGCAATCTGAGAAAGTGACACTTAGAACAAGCAGCCAACTAGGCTTTTCTAAGCAAGGTAGCCACGTAAGCTATAACCAATAAACAATGTCTTCGCTTTGTCTCCACCTCATTTCTGTAAACCTCGCCCAGCTCACGTCAGCGGGGCACTCCGACCACCTCTGGTGCTGTGCTGACTCCGATCCGTGCGCGCAAATGCACTCGGGGACATTTTAGTGCCTCCCTTATGCTTCCCTAGCACCGTCCGTGGGTCTGAAGTTGCCTTGTTAAATTATAACTACAGCTTCCTTCCCCTTGATCGATTTACTTGCTCAGATGCTTGTTAGTATCTATGTGGGTGGATCTGACTGTTTAATTTCCCGAGAACAGCCGCCAGGGGTCACTTCACGGGAGCTGAAGCACTGGCTCTGGGGGACAGCGAGTGCAGAGCTGGGGCTGGACCACGTTCCTGTCTTACCTCAGTGTATCTGCATCCCTAACTGTGCTGTTAGTGTCCGGCCTTGCTGGTGTGACACAGGGCTAATCTAGGATTTTTCTGTCACTCCAAAGGTGACACTGCACAGTTTGTCTTTCAAGAAGACCGACTGTTCTTAGATTGCCTCCTGTTGTTGCCTGGTTATAACCACTCTCCTCCGGATCGCAGGGGAGTCCTGTGTCACAGGAACGGATATGTAAGGAGGTCACAAGTGCCCAGTTTAGAAGCATGGGTCTGAGTTGCTTTCACACAATACTGATTTCCCAGAGGCGCTCAGACTACTGAGGCATTGTGTAGGGTGATCTAGGAGCGAGGAAGTCGTCTTACAACCAAGGAATCACGGGAGCTTCTCCCTATCTGTCAGCCTCGTTATTTCATAGTGTCCCGTGTCCCTTTATTCTGGTGTAACCACAGTATCCTGCATAGCCCCTGAAGTTTGTCGGAATGTGATCTGCAAAGATAAATACCTGTGGTAAGCATCTTCAGGAGCCTTACAATGAAAGATGACCCCCTGACACACACTTGGTGTCCAGGCATGAATTCACCTAAACTTGCTCTTAGGTTCAGTGGGAGGGTTTTCTAATTCAACCCTAGATTCATTTCTATGGCTGAAAGTCTTCTTCAACACATACAAAATATGTGTTGCAGACAGTGCCAAATCCTGCAAAACACCTGCCACCTTCGAACATAATCTAGACGATTCACGTTCAAAGAGAACATTTGATCCTGGTTGGACGTTTAGAACTCCGGGCCTGTGTAGGCTTTCTCACCAAGCCTCAGGTCTGCTTTACCTCAAGTCTTCCGTTACGAACAGTGTCCCTGCCGCCTCTCCTTCCTACTGCACCCGTAAGAGCCGCAAGAGAACAGGCGTGAAAAGAACTGGCAAGAGTCAAGGTGGCAGCAGACAGGTGGACGCTGCACTCATCCCCCAGGGCCACACCGGATTCACAGCTAAAATATAGGACATCGACCTTAGTAACAAACTGAAGACGTGTAGCCAGAACTTACAGAAGCAGCCACGCTGAGACTGGTAGGAGGGCAGAGATGGGAAAAGGGCCGGGCCTGCTTCCACGGGCAGAGGCTGAGGTTCCGGAGGGCATCTCAGGTTCAACCGCCCCCTCAGGAGTGTGGGGTCTCCACCCCACGCCAGGCTCCTCAGCCCAGAGCACCAAACTTGGGAAGAGGTGCCCAAGTAACATCTGGCTGTGAAAATCAGCAGGAATTCTGTGTGCCATGGAGCGGGGGGGGGGGGGGTCCTAGAGACACAGGTGCCCGCCTACAGGGCCAACGCACA